TTGATATCGTCTGGGTCCCAGGCCACAAGGGCGAAAAGGGTGAACGAAAAAGCTGACAAGATGGCAAGAGAGGAAAATGCCCAAAAGGTTAAGGACCTTTCAATAGAAGATGCGTCTCGCTTTGTCACTGAGGCCATCAAAGATGAGTATGTCAATAGCTGGTTAATCTGCTGTATAGGACTCATATACAGCTACCGCGATGTTTACGAAGAGTGGAGCAAAGGCTTAAACGCAAGTACCGCAATGGAAGTTACGATCAGTGAAGCGGAACTGCAGATGCTAGATATAGATATCGAAGGTTGGACTCATATCGAAGGTTACTGAGATAAGTGTCTTGTGATTGGCAGCACAGAATATGCAATTATTCACTGTAAAAAATAAGGCCGGAGACACAATGCTAAAGAAGCTGAAACTGGGAGATTGGCTGATCCATTCGCTCACTGCAATAAGAATTCCTGGAGATACCGAATTCTGGGGAGTTCTATCGACAAATGCATTCAGAGTTCTTAAGAACTTTAATCACAAGATAGGGATTATTGCAGGACTGACGATCCCTCTGGGAGTAGAGGGAAAGCGTCCTCACTTTTATTTTTTAAAGTTGCATTGCGCATGCGTAGGAGCACAAGGCTTCGAAGAGAAGCCCAGCTTTACAAAGTAGAAGAACATAGGCCTGGGCCCTCTGGAAGTGTTTGGATAATGGTTGGATGAAAGCTTTTCACTCTCTCGATATCGTCAGGGTTCCAGGCCATAGAGGCGTAGAACTGAATGAATATGTTGATAAGCTGGAAAGAGCGGAAAATGCCCAAAAGATAAACCATCTTTCAGTAGAAGGTGCAAGTATTTTCCTCACTGCGGCCATCAAAGACGAGTATGTCAATAGCTGGCTTACCTCCTCCATAGGGCGCAGGCTCAGCTACTGTAATGTTTATAAAGAGTGGAGTAAAGGACTAAACATTAGTAGAGCAATGGAAGTCACAATTAGTAAAGCAAGACTGCAGATGCTAGATACAAAACAGCTCCGATACAAATATCGAAGATCCGATTATCCTTACTGTGATAAGTGTTTACTGATCGACAGTACGGAACTCATTGTAAAAAATACGAGGAAGCCAGAGGCGAAATGTTAAGGAAAATGAAACTGGGAGATATAGACCTAATGGCCGATTTGATTGCTCGCTGCAATAAGAATCCCTGGCGATATCAAATTTTAGGGAACTTTATCACCAAATGCATTCACACAGATCGTATTTTATTGTAGAGTGTCAAGATGTAGAAACATCTTTTTACTCGACTTCTGATAACAATCTGGAAGGAAAAGAGAGAAGAATAGTGGAGTAGGAGGTGTGGAACAGGGGGAAAAAGAGAGTCAGGTCCACGCTAGCGGCGGCGAATGGGGGAGGGAGGTCAATGTCGTTACAAGATGAAGCAACGGGTGACAGAGACCGCAGAGTCAATGTAGCGTGAATGAGTCAATTAAGGTTGTAATTCTTACGTGGGTAGGATGTCACATGGATACCGATGTTTTTCACGAGGATGCGGCGAGTATCTGAGAGTGCTAATAAGGCGATTACTGTGGGTTTGTACTGAATGAAAGAAGTTGGCAGCTAATCGTTTAACATACTCTTGAATAGGTTCGATTTGAAGGTCTCTGTGAATGTAGGTGTTTGGAATATACCAAGGAGCATTGATAATTTCTTGTAAAATTTTATTTTGCAGTACTTAGAGTTGTTTAATATTGATTTTAGCTGCATGTCACCAGATCGCAGCTGCATAAAGGAGAGCTGGGCGAAGTATGGAGCGATATGCAGCGAAGTATGGAGTCTATTTCTTCGTCAAATATTTCAGGGGGTGGAGGATAGTAGTTCATGTTTCTCTTACGGAAAATTATTGCTTTGGTTTATCAATGTTAATTTTAATCCTCCAAAGGGTGAGCCATTTTTTCAGTTTTAGGAGATAGTTTTGGAGTTGGTTTCTTGCGGCGATTGCTGTGCAGGCTTTAGTAAGTCTGGCGGTGTCATCGGCGAAGAGTGCAAGATGAACAGATGGGTCTTTACGCATGTCTTGGGTATAAATATTAAAAAGATACGGGGAAAGTGCCAACCCCTGTGGGACACCAGTTTTCATAACTCTGGTGGTTAAGCAGTACCAATTTTGACTCTGAATATTCTGTTGCTCAGAAAAGAGGCTATTAAGCGAATAAAATGATCTGGAAAATTGGGAGAGATTAATTTGTAATTAAGGCCGTGATACCATACCCTGTCAAAAGCTTTTGCGATATCAAGGAATATGGCCTCGCTCGAAATCTTGCAGTTGTAGCTTTCAGTGATAATGTTGATAACTCTAAGAAGTTGGTGGCAACTGCTATGATGATTGCGAAAACCAAATTGCTCTTCTGGGAGAAAATTCATGGAAGAGTGAATTCTTTGGATGTGGAAAAGTAGAATTTTCTCAGTAACTTTAGAAAGATGGCTTTGTAAACTGATAGGGCGATAGTTCTGTGGGAAGGTGGGATTTTGTTGCGGTTTAGCAAAAACAATTATTATGGCTTGCTTCCATGGGCTTGGAAAATGAGCGAATTTGATAATGTTGTTGATTATCTTAGTTAGGTAGGTAACAGCGTTGATCGGAAAATGTTTCAGTGCAAATGCGTTAAGAATTCTTACAGGACAGACGTTTTCTTTGGAGTGGAGTGAACGAGTCCATAAATAAATATAAAAAAATAATAATAAAAAAAGGTCATTCCGCATGCGTAGAAGCACAAGGCACCGAAGGGAAGCCAAGCTTCACAAAATACAGGGGGGGCCCAAGAGCGATGCGCAGTGCAGGGAGAAAGTTATGCCACATACGCATGACGTCATGTGGGTGACAGCGTTAGTTCTTGGCGTTTGTTTACTTTCGTTGCATCAACAGTTTGATTTGATTTGTGTTGTTAATTTGCTATTATACCTAAGCGGAAGTGGCAAATTGTGCTATAGCGTTGTGTCAGAATTATACACGTTAATACGTTTTTTGGCGGAAAACACTTTTTACAATCAGATAAAATAACTATTTTTTTAATGAATTTATGTAGTTTTCATACATAACTGTGATGTAATTTTACATTTATTTTTCATTTTACTGCTATTTTACATTTAAATTGAAAAATTTCTCATTTTAAAAAAATCATTTTTTATCATAATCTTCATTTTGTGTATGAGACTTACATCGTAGTGAGATATTTAAACTCAGTGTCATGTTTACCAATACTGAGTACCTGAATGATTAGTTAATAAATTCGCTTATCCAACTTTATTCACATGTTTTGGTTACTTTCTTTACATCCCAAACGTAATTCTATGTATTGAAGCAGCGTCTGGGTTAAGCATTGCGAACTAAGTAAACTGATACATGCCTCACCGTGAGGAAAGAACAATTTCTCGACCACACTATGATGCAAACATCGAATGAGTGAGTGACATATTTCCTTCAGTGTTATTTAACTGATGCATACAGGTATGTGTGATGTAATTTAATTGATATAACTAAGTGAACTTATCCATGCTTGAACCTGAAAGAAAACAAATCTGTGTATAATGCTAGAATACAAATAGCGAAAGATTAAGTAAGATATTCTGTTCAGTGTTATTTAACTGCTGCATATGTTTTAATTTTGATTCCATATAACTTGTTTTTAATTATAAGAGAAAGAAAAATAATTCAATATTGAACACTATTTCGAGTATAACAAAAGTATTTTAAGAAACAACCTGATAAAATACATTAGTGATTAAAAATATTAATTTGTGTACAGACTGAATTGAAATTAAGATGTGGTGGTGTATTTAATTATGGCAAAGCACACTAGGGCTATCTGCGTAATAGGTGTGATGCCTTCGTGGAGGACTTTCTCAGGGAAACTGGCTCGTATACACGTTACATGGAGGAAAACCACGAAAAACACCCATGCAGCCAGCCCGTTCGCGGGATTCGAACCGAACTACCAGTGTTCAGCGACTTTACCGCTCGGCCGCTGGTGGGCCGAAACTAAGATGTAAGGCAAGTTTATTATTATTATTATTGTGCGTATATGTGTAAGAAATGTATTTTAATTGTTCCATTTTTAATGTATGGAAGGAAGAATAGGATGCCAATATCGAAGATTATTTACTATAGCAAATAATCACGTCAGGATAAATGTTATATAGAAATCTTGGGAGTGTAAGGGATTATAAGAGTACTTTTAGATTATACTGAAAATATATGCACTTCTGCTAAAATCTGAAGTGAATCAGAGTATGAAGTGACTTTTCACTTTAAAAAGAATGTGATAAGTATACTATTTAAAAGTATAATGACGGATATTAAGAAATTTGTAGAATTTTATGGTATTTAAATATGAATTTGTCGATTAAGTCAAATCTTTTTATATATATTTTTGCTTGAGATATGTAATTTAAACTGAAAATCACGATCATATATTTCTCATTGGTAAAAAAAGTGCATGAGCAATGAAAATAAATAGAATAATACTTTTTTGATTATGTTTTTACCATGGTCTTAGCAGTTATGCCATCATGTGTTCTGTTCAACAAGATTTATTTAGTGCAAACAATACTACGAAAAAATATTGAAAAATACCTTGTTTTACAATATTTATTTCCCTTAATTAACTTAATATCGTTTTTTCATTTTCTAATGCTTCCTTTACGAAAAGAATTTAATGTTTACAATTATTTTCAGCATTCGTACGAATTCTGTGCATAAAATAAACATTTTCTTTAACAAAATACTTAATCGGAAAGTATATACCCGGTATTTCCGGTATATCTACCACATATAAAATGATCATTTTGCTTTAGTTTACATTTTTTCCATTACCAAAATCATGTAGCAGACGCGTCGGCCGATGCGTCTTGTCTCCCGGGTGACGTCACTACCAGCAACCAATGGCACGCTTTTCCGTTCTTGGCCTAACCTTAGTATATTAAAGAACCTTGACAAAATAGAACACATTGGACGTTTACACGCATCGTAAAATTAGCTTTATTGTTATATTGTTTGGTAGGAAAAGCGCGTGTGATGATCGGAGCTTTTTAGAAGTTAGGCGAACTCTGTTTTTTTTTTTTTTTTTAATTTATCCCATTCTGTCGATTAATTTTTAAAAAAATTTTTCCTTAGTATTAGGCTTTAGCTGTCTGTAAGTAAATTTCTAGAATGGTGTTATCGAAGACGACATTCCGAGCTTTCTTATGCGCTGTTGGCAAAATTAGCGTACAGTCGTCAAGAAATTATAATAATATCATATATATAGCATCAAAGCGAAATAAGTTTAATTCGTCTTATTCTAAATTCATTGTAGCTTCTGCTGCTGCGTTAGGTTTCTCTTTATATATTGCTCATAAAAATAAGATCAGCTGTGACATTGATTTGGCTGATGTGAAGATTAGGAATGAAATTGAGACATATGAAGAAGCTATATCAAAGAGTCGGGATGTCTTGCAACGTATCAAGGTACAATTTACCGCAGACAGTTCATTAAATTTGTTGCATTAGTAAGGTTACGGGTGATATCGAAACCATTGAGATCTTGCTAAAAACTTGCGACATCTTGGCGTTTTATTTGTATATATCGCCAAAGCTAATACTTATAACGTTTTGTATGTTACGTGCATTTTTTATTTATTGTTGTAATATGTATCCAAAATATTGCTTTGAAACAAGGAAGTATGAAATTTACATGCTCACTGAATAAGTTAAATTGTACCAAGTAAGACTAAAGTGCAGAATCGCCTACTTATTTGTTTGGCGCTTCTTACAAGAGTAACAAGAATTGGATTTTTGTCAATTTTCTTTGACTTTTTAAGTGAAAAAATAGGTCGATGTGTGCATGGACAAAGTCAAGGGAGTGCACAATGCCATTTTTGTGCAATTCTGGTATGTTTTTTAAGGTTTTTAATAAAATAGGTCGATGTGTATATAGATACCGAGTATGTGCAATTCTTAAAAACGCGCCACGCAGTGGGCGATTCTGCACTTTCACCAAGTTGACATATGAAAAAATGTCAAGATTCGTGATGTAATATTAAAAGCATCAGTTTTAACTATCAAATTTTGGCATTTAAAAAATATTTTAAAAGTTGTGCTTTCCTAACACGTAAGAAAAACATGCAATTTGTCCCTCCCGCCATCAAAGCTCTTGATACCTACCAAATTCGTGAAAGTTACGTGGACAGAAATGGCGGCATGTTTTCAGCTCAGTATTTAGGGTTACCATAAATAACAATTTTATCATAATTTTTCATTTATCGCGCCCGAATGTCGCCAAAAATTTTTCTCGCCATAAAGGACTAATACTAAAGCTGTGCCAGCACAAGTGATTCAAGGACCTGGAATAAATAAATATAACGATTTCAAAAGCTACAGGACCAAAAAAAAATATATTTTTAATTATAGATAAATGATTAGGATATGTTAGTATTTGGCAACAAATATGCTGATAATAATTACACATTAGAAACTCGATTTACATTAATTTCATTTTATCTTCATTTCTTCAGTGGACAAGTGTATTTAGGTAACAACGGTTTTTCATGATATAGATGATTTGGAGGGAAAAGTGCAGAATCGCCCACTGCTTGGCACGTTTTTAAGAATTGCACATACTCGGTACCCATGTACACGTCGACCTATTTTGGTTTAATCCTAGTATCCGGTGCACACGGGATTTGGCGACTTTATGATGAGCAGTAAAAACGGGACATATACAATGAGTAGTAAACAAGTCATTCAAAGAATATATATAGTTATACATAGCATATACTATGTATATAGTGTATATACAATGTATATACATATATAGTGTTAGTATATATATATATAATATGTTCTTTGGATCATGTTTGGTGATGGCGATAATTTTCAAAATCGTGCCAAGGCTGCACCGTATACTAGGATTTTACCCCTATTTTCACTTTAAAAGTAAAAGAAAATTGAAAAAAATCCAATTCTGCGTGCTCTTGTAAAAAGTGCCAAACATATAAGTGGGCGATTCTGCAGTTTAGCCTGTCAACTCTGCATATTATAAACTCCCCCCCCTCCCCCCAAGAAAAGAAACACATTTTTAGTAGCATGAGGTAAACGTTTGGTGTTTCCTTTGCTAAGAAACCACATGCAAATTTAGACTTCTTGCATGTTTCTTAAAATGGGCAATGATGAAAATTACCATGGTCTAAAAATAATTTTTTGCCTCATTTCTTAAATTAGAACTATAGGGATGTGTAATTGCATGAATTCATAGACCAAAATCAGATTTCATTATTGCTTTTAAAACATTTTTATAATTTGGCTGGCTATAAAAAATATAATGTTGCTTAGATTATGGAATATATTGCTTATAATATACAATTCTCAAATTTTGTAAATCTCATAATCTAATAGCTGTATATGAATAACCTGAGTATTACTATTACTTTTTATCAATAGTATGTTGACATAACAGTCGACTTTTTATTTTAAATTTTATGCAAATTTTCTACATTACTTAAACATTTAATTGTACTGAAATCTGAATTTTTTGTAATGAAAACTGTATAATAAAAGTAGGAATACAATTTATAGATACAAATTTGACTATATGGCAAGCACGTAGATACTGATTTCAATGTCTTTAAATGTAATTATTACAAAGTTTAGATATATTCTTATTAAGTTAAGATATACTATTATTCTATTATAAGGTTTAGATGTAAAGAACAGAAGGCACACTTTGTACTTACAACTCAGTCAAACTGCACTCTGGCAAGATAACAATTAAGTTCAAATGTAAAATTTAAATTCAAATAAACTTGTAGCCAAAGGCTACACAAATCACTTTAACCTTTTAACTGTCAAGTTAGGTTAATCTTTGGATTATGGTAACTTGGTGATTTTTTGGCGAAAATTTGGTGACCAACCCTGCTACAGCAACCTGCTAGTTTTTGTTTAGACGCCATTTTGTTTTCACGAAGTAAAGGCATTTTTTTTTTTTATACTCAACATTTTTTTCCAACGATCTGCTAGCCGAATTACACTCATGCTAGAATTTTTATGGAACAAAAGTGCTTAATCATGACGAAGATTAGGTGCGAAATTGGGAGAAAGTGCAGAATCGCAAACTGCTTGCCGCGTTTTTAAGAATTGCACGTACACGGTATCCATGTACATGTCGATCTATTTTCACTTAAAAAAACATCTCAGAATTGCTTAAAAATGGCATTGCGCACACTCTTGACTTTATCAATGTACACTGCTAAAGTCCTAGCTAGTAACCTTTATCGCCTTACCAAAAAATCGCCAAACTACCTGTTACCATATTCCAAGGATTAGCCTCAAGGTATTTTGATGATTTGGGTGCATAAATTGTCAATTTTTTTTATTCCAAAAATGAAATATTTGCCTTTAAAATCAAAAAAATGCCACATGTTTTGAACTTTAACCTCTATCCTTTGAAACTTTCAGGCAAATGCTGCCATCTGTTGACCTGAAGCCGAAATAAACTTCTCACGATATATATTTGGGTATAACAATACGATGAACTCAAAAAAAAAAAAAAAATTAGCCCGAGTAATATTTGGGCATGACATTTTGGAATACTAAACTCTGTGCCCGAGATTATTTCGGGCATGACAGTTAAAAGGTTAATGCAAAGTTGGTTCAGAACTTAACCGACATGGAATTCAACTGTTAGCAATTATAATGCAAGACTGGAGACTACAAATCTTATCTAGCAATCTAATAATGTGGCCTCGAAACGCAAAACATGGTTTGTTTTACAAACTAAAAACTTCATTTGGATTCTTGTGGGAAAACGGATGGGGAAATTGACAGTAAAGATCCCAAACATAAAATAACTCTGGTTACAAAATAAAGGAACGTTGTATTATACTTTTGTTCCCTGATTAATTATTCACTACATGAAATAGTGTAATGCATTTTTGTTTCCATCATATACAAATTATTTATTTTATTTAAATGCTGTCCAAAACTGAACAGGATTTTGCAAACATATTGACCATATTTTTCGACCTATAGATGCAACACTTCTTCATTTCAGAAATAAGATTTAGAATTAAGAAATAAGAAGAGAGAACAGTATTTATGAATAGAAAATAAATATATACATAGGCTAGCAGAAGAAGGATGACTTCATAAAGGACTTTTTAAGAGAAACTGGCTCAGATTCACATTACATGCAAGGAAAACCGCAAAAACTCCCATATAGCCAGCCTCAACTACCAGTGTTCAGTGGCTTATCACACCACTGCTAGTGGATTCCAATGACTGTTCGAATCTTTCAGAGAAATCATCAGTGATGATAATTGTAGTTGTGTATTATTACCATTGGTACAAAATTTACTCATTATGATAATTTATCTTTTAAATTATAATCATAAATTACTTGTAATAAATTGAGTGATTAAAAAATACACACTTCTTAATATTTTTACCATTTACAAAATTTAATTCATAAAAAATATTTCTGGTACAAAATTTATTCATTATAATTTAATTTGATTTCCTTCAATTTGAAATATTTTTTTATTTTCTTTTAATAATGGAATCTAAGAAACTAAAGTAACATATACTATAGTTTGAAATGCACTTATTAACCTTTTGTAAATTTCATTATTCATATCATAAAAATTAAGCTTTTGTAAATTTAAAATATTAGCCAAATACTAATATAATATAAATATTAACTAACTACTTAAAATATGAATATTTAATACATTAATATTATATATTGTAATTTAAAATATTAAACTTTTGTAAATTTCATTACTCATAACATAATCATTGCCATAAATTCATTTACGGTAGTGTTTCCAGAATTTATCATCGTAATACTAAAAATGTTGAAAATTAGAGAAAGACTGTTTTTTGCAATTTGTTGAAAATTGGAGAAAGAATGTTTAATTCCAATCAAGAGCTTATTTTTTAGGATTGTTATTTAGTCTAGATCGGGTTTTGTTTAAAATCTGCCATTCTTTTCCGGTCTTCAAAGCCGTGTCTACCTTGGCGACAAAAATAAAAAAATCGCCAAAAGGGCCAGTACTAAAGCTCCCTTTTGCTATTCAAGGTTTTTATATCCAGTCATGTATATAAAAATTACTTCTTAGCTAATTTCTGATATTTTTTGGCCAATATTGTAAATATTTATTTGGTTAGGTTTATACAGTACAAAGTCTTTAATCCGGACATCCATAATCCGGAATGATCTATAATCTGGACCTCAAAGCTACAAACTTTCTGTGCAAGCGTAAATGCATTGCATTTACAATACCTTTACACGTACGCATATGCGTTTAATGTATAACGAACAGTATAAGCTAGGCTAAAATTATCTATTTCAGTTAATGTTGCAGATTGCGTTGTTCCTTAATCTTCGAATTGGATCCGGCTTATTATTTTTTGCAGACTGTTAGAGCAATTTTATAAAAGTAAGCTTGAACTTTCGATTATGTCAAAAAGAA